ATAGATTCTTCAAGATCTTGTTTTTGTCATCTTACGCCTTTTATTGAAGATGGGAACATTGACAGGGAACTAATATAATAGCCAATGCTCGGCGAGAGGTTTTCGTTTATAAAATGTTGTTGTTGTTCTCGACTTGATTTTTATTTTATTACCTCGTCTCCATAGTTACTATTTGCAAATAATCAATAATATTGTAGGTCCATTTTATTGTTGTTCTTTCTACGCGCCGTTATAACACATTTTCATCTCATCATTTAATTTCTGTTGTGCATATATTGTTGTATAGAAGATATTTTAAAGTGATTCATCAGGTAGAAAACGAATAGATAGATAAACCGATACGTGGCGCCTTCTAGTGTACCTAAATTCATCTAGAAATTTTCATAAAAGTGACCTGAAAAACGGGACTAACTCAGTAATCCCTGGCCTGATTTTAACAAAACTTATTATGTTTTGTTTCTATTCTCATTTCATTACAAATATGGCGCTATTGTGCACTGTTTTTGCTGTATCTAATTACAGACAAGCACACACACAAACAATCTCAGAGTTTTATAGTATATAGATAGATAGATGAATAATGCCTCTGTTATCACATTCTTACTGTATTGAAGTGTATGACAATAAAACGTTACATTAATTGAGAATTGTTATTGAAATAATTAGTAATTCTTAACAACTCTATGCTCTGTTTGGTACTCATTATAAATCTTGAGAAAAAGTTTTTCTTCCTTCATAATAATAATCTTTTTTTTTTCACAGTTACCAAAACTGTAAACAATTATATTACAACTTTTTAATGTACAGGTTTTGACACAGTCCTCTCATTGTATACCATGATGGTAATGATATTGTCACAAATAAAGTCTATAATACATCAATAAAAAACTAACAACAAACATAAGTTACAATGTGCAATTAAAAATAGAGGTCCTTTGAATTAAATATAAAGAAGTTAGCATAAACCGGCAAAGTGTATATTATTATTTAGTTAGACATTGTACAGTTACTAAGTTACAAGTTTCACTCTTAGAAGAAATGTGTATAACTTTATGATTTCTTTTTTGGAAAGTTAACTAAGAGAAATACAGAAAACAATCCTTTCTTGTATTACTGTCAGTGAAAATAAAATTTTATTTGCTACAGAAATATGTCATTCGTGAAGTTTGTATATATATATCCAGTAAAAAAAGTTTTTATATTAATTCACAATGTGTGTTTTTGATAGGTCTCTACCAGCTCTGCACAATGGGATGGTGTAATTTTTGCCCATTCTTCCTTGCAATATTTCTCCAATTCTGACAAGTTCATTGGGAATCATTGATGGACTGCAATCTTCAAGTCTTGCCACAAATATTCTATTGGATTCAAGTCAGCATTTCACTAAGCCATTCAATTTCTTCTTTTGAAACCACTCCAGTGTGGCTTTGGTCTTGTGCTTTGGGTCATTGTCCTACTAATATGTGAATTTTTGACCCAGTTTTAGATTCCTGGCTGACTCAAGGAGGTTTTCCTCTAGGATTCACCTGTACTTTGCATCATCCTTCTTCCCCTCAATCCTGATAAGCTTCCCAGTCTCTGATGATGAGAAGCATCCCCATAACATAATGCTGCTACCACCACAGTTGGGATGGAGTTAATTGGGTAATGTGCTGTGTTGAGCTTGCACTAAATGTAAAGCTTTGAATATAGACAAAAAAGCTAAATTTTTTGTATCATCTGACCACAGAACCTTCTGCCACATGTCTGCAGTATCATTTCCATGCTTTGTCACAAACTCTGTATGAGATTTAAGATTCTTTTCTAGTAA